ATGGTAAATTCTGACCCGTCCTTCAAATCAGAATTTTTTTTACCAATATTTTAATGTTTATTCATTTTAGAAAATATATTATTGTATATACAAAAATATAAGATATGTTAATTTTTTAGACATGAATTAAATAGTTTTCTAATTTTAAGTCATTTTGTCATCATAACACATTTTAAAATAAATAGTTTATATTTATGAAAATAAAAATTTCATTTTAATATAGTTTTATTATATTTATTTCAATATAATTATCTTTTAACATGATGATTTTGACTATAAAATAAATAAAATAGGATATAATTTAATTTTTTATTTTATAAACGATAACTTAAAATAGGTTAAGTTATTTTAAAAATACTTTTACACCGATGTATATAAATTTAATATATAAATATATATGTACATTTAAAATAAAAAGATATCATGATTAAACAGTTACACATTTTATATTATTAGCTTTAATGAACTACATGTTAATTTATATACATGTATTATATAGTTTGCTCATTTTAACCCGTCTTACCTACATATTATATTTTATTTTTAAATATAAATCTTTTATACGTACGAAAATAAAGTATATAAATTTAGTCAATTTAGATATATTTTTAGAAAAGCAATAAATGGAGGATATTGTGTATTAGTTGTTATGGAAAAATATAGTAGATTTGATGAGTAGATTATGGCAACAATAATTAGTAATAATGAACTAAAAGGTTTGATATATATCTTTAGAATATTCGAAGTTGTAATCCGCAAGCAAGATAGGTTTCAAAAGAAATCTTATCTACTATAATCTTTTGCGTGACCAGTTTGAAAAATTACAACTGAATTTTTAATTGGTAAAATCGTATATATTATGTCTATTATAAATGATTATATTTGCTTGACAATTAAAATCTTATCTTTTTAATTTCGATCAAAACTTGTAGTGTTGATTGATATGGATTAAGATATAAGAAAAAGTTTAGATTTTGAATTTGGTCACAAACCTTTTAGCTGGATAAACTCATAAATTTATCATCACCTACCTAAGAACTCTGTCCATGATAACATTTGTAAAAGCTTATTACAAAGTTTACACGTTTTATGCTAACATCATGTATATATTGAAGGTCGAAGGTAATTTGAATCACATGATATATTTTCAAACCGGATGTTATATTTCTAGTTAGACCAAACCAAAGCTATAAATTTATAATGTTAGGCTAGACTGCTGTATATTAAATGGTTAAGTACATTTAAAATGTTTCACTCTCCAAATCAACAAATTGTATAAATTTGATGCCGGTTATTCAAACCGGAAATGTAGGCGTAGGTAAATGTTATATGTGTGGCGATTAGTTAGGATTATTAATGTAAAAATACTCTGCGACTAAATGTAAATCCCATTTCTAGGAATAGGTCCAAAATTTAAAATATCACACATCAAGTGAAATCATGACTTCTGTTTTAGTATATAAGATAGATCATTTGTTAATTACTGAACATTAAAATTTTGCAAATTAAATAAGTAGCAAGCATTCAGATAGACTCACAATTTGTAGACCACAATATATATATTTTAATTGCTTTCATTATTTCTCAGTTCAAAAAAAAAGAAAAATTCTTTCATTATTTCAAATAAGTATATTTTACTTACAAAGAGAAAATACTATACATTGTTGTTTCAAACAAAACTTGCAGAGTGTACTTAGAAGTTCGTACATTACCCTTTGAATGAAAACGAAAAAAATCCACAAAAAGACGAAAATTTGGTTACTTTCCTTAGACTTTTCAATACTCTGATCTGTGATCACGAGGAAACAACGTAAAGAGAGTTTAAAGTCAATTTGATAACATACATTTTTGGAAGATTAACTAGATATTAAACCAACGATAATACAAGGATAATTCAAATCCGAAAACATTTGTACTCCCAACAAAAGCTAACGAAACAAGTACATTCCCCAGAGCTATAAGCCTGCGGACTTGCATGTCCTCAGTACTCTTCGTCAACTATGTACTACCTGTCATCTTATCATAAGCTTCGTTAACATGTTTATCATAAGGTACTAAACAACAGATTGATATGCGATATTTACTATGTTCTATTATTTGCTTTGATTTGGTTAAACAAATTTGGATGACTGTTAAAGTTCATATATAAGTACATCACAACTCACAGGCAATAAAAACAATTAGTACTTTTAGAAGAGTGTATTCAACTGAGAATTTGGGGTGATTTCAATTAAACTGACAAATTCAATGTTATTCAAATATGAATCTTAAGTTTTTATTTGAAATCCATTGTTATTAAATCTGATCTTTCATTAAATATTTTGAAATTTACTGTTAATGAAAGTATTTTAAGTTGTGGACTTTTAAAGTTTTCAAGTGTTTTTATAGAATTTCTTACATAAAATAAAAATAATAACTCAAATCTCATGATTCTATGTAATATTCTAAAGTAGTTAACAAAAACTAGGTGTTTTCTTGAAACATGTACAGAAATAAAAATAATAATAATAATAAAATTATGTTAAATATTCTAAATTTTCTTATTTTCTTCCAATATTAAATATAAATTTTAATTTAATTAAACAAAAAATTAAGATAAAATAACCATTTGATTTATTTTAAATTATAATAAATACATATATAAATTTAAAATTATAACTTTAGTTAAATATTCATTTATTTCTTTTGGTCAAGATATATTAATCAATTTGTATATTTTTTTTACAAAATGATATGAAAAATTTAATAATTATAAAAATAAAAATAAATAGAATTTCTAGATTTTAAAGTTTATAAATATCAAAAGGAAACAAATGCTGTTAGGCTTAAAAGTTTATATTTTGAAAAAAAACAATTGTACAAAATTTATAAAATCTTGTTTAGTAGTAAATTTTTTAAGATTGTAAAAATAGGCTAAATAATATTTTGAAATTTCTAAAATATTTATATTTATTACATTATATAATGTCATATTTGAATATATTTATTTTGATGATGATTATGAGTTAGTTTCATATTTTAAAAAGTTTACAAAAAGTAGAAATAAACATTAATTGTAGTTACCATATCATATTTAGGTATAAGACATATCATCAATTCTACTATGTCATATCATTTTTTTCAGTGAAAGAGATTTTAGAGATGCCATATGTCAAATTACTTCCAAATAATGACTAGAGGGATCATTATCTAAAAACTAATTAAAAATAAATCACCTTAAATATTAAATTGAATGCACTCTAGCGTTAATCTAATAAAAAACATTTATAAATATGTAATAAACATAAGGTTTATATAAATTAACACACATACATGCCTATTTTATGATCCTTAACTATCTGGAGTTGAAACTGGAAATGACTTTGGAAATAAATATTAAAAGTAAGTTTGGTTGAACTTAATATTTAAAACTGTTTTAACGTCTACGTAAATATCCCAATCTTAATGGATATTAAAAGTAATTTTGGCTGAATACTTGATATTTAAAGCTATTTTAACGTCTACGTAAAAATCAGATTGAGTATCCCAATCTTATTATGATACCAAATATTAGGTTAGCTTGTAAACATATAAGGATTGGACTGATCACATATACGCTAATACGCAATAAAGACAAGATGCTCACTTCCCAACGACCCTATACCGATAGTAGAAGGTGACCAACTAGACCGAAACTACTTTTTAAACTTTGGCTTCATATAAATAATAGGCAATTAATCCTCACAATTAGTGTTATAAAAGTATATGACTAGATGCCTACTTTTTATATCTTTATACACATTTTTTGTAACATATATCTTTATACACATTTTTCATATTTTTTTGATAAATGTATACACTTTTTTCATTACTTTGTATACTTTGTGTAAAAGAAAAGGAACAAAAGTCGAGTAAAAAGCAACTCAAACTCTTACTATCTCCGACTATTGAGTCAAATGTGTGTTAAGTTCGTGTAATTAAAGAAACAATGAAAGATGTTCGGCTCAGTCGTGACGCATGTTTTGACCTAAAGGTCCAAAAAACTGAGACAATACATTCCAATTGCACAATAAACACAATCTAACGCAAACCAGTTTGGCAAATTTTGCACCGGACCACGTGAGTTAAGAAGCCATCCGACAAAACTAGAAGACTTCAGTTTTTACCCGTGGGTCCCTCTTTTTGAGTATCTGTGTAAGTAATATTACATCATTATGCTTATGTCATATAATATCCAAGGTTCTATAAATGATTCCCACTAGTTTACACTTTACACTTTACACTCTACATAATCAAGAAATGATGATGACTAATGTGATGCAATTATAGATGTAAACTGTTTGTGTCGGGTTAAAGTTGATTTCAGAATACTATTGATTTGATAGAGATTCAACCGAAAATATAGTAATAGTTAAAGCACAAATCTCTTAAATAACACAAACTTATAACAAAATAACACATAAAATTTCCATAAACAGCATTAATAAACGAGTAAAATGGTTAAATATTTCTAACCTCCTAAATATTAAATTTCAAACCATAATCAATAAACTCAAATCCAAATATAAATTAAAAATGTTTTTAATAATGAACGGGTAAAATGGTTAAATATTTCTAACCTCCTAAATATTAAATTTCAAACCATAATCAATAAACTCAAATCCAAATATAAATTAAAAATGTTTTTAATAATGAATGCTATTATGGGAAATTTTGCTCTTATATATTATTTTTAAAAATAAAAAATGTGTTTTAGTGCTATGAATTTCTTTAATTAAAGATATGAAATCGTTATGCTTAAATTATTGAGACTATCCTTAGTACTTCAAAAAAATTTAAAAGACCCCCCTACAAAAATACTCTCAATAAATTAATACCGCAGCTTACCAATTACGCACGTTGCTGATATGCTAACTATATAAACCAGTGAATGGGAAAACAAATAAAACATAACGCATTCAATTTGTGGCTATACGTTAAATCCTCAAGAGAGAGAAAAAAAGTTCTGAATCTTTCATAGGATGTCAAAAAAAGCAGTGGCCAAGTTGTTTGATCTAGAATCACAAGAAAGTGGTGGTTCTCCTTTATTCGTGTCACAAACACACTCCAAGGATCCACAGCCAGTGTCCGACGATAACGACGGCGGAGATAGTGAACGGATACCGGTAGAAGAGTGGCTTCCGATCACAGAATCAAGGAAAGGGAATGTTTACACGGCGACGTTTCATCTTATCTGTTCGGGACTTGGTTTCCAAGTGCTTTTTCTCCCTGCTGCTTTCTCAGCACTCGGATGGTAACATCTCATATCATTAGTTTATTCATTAGTTTCTTGGATTAACACTTGCCATATTTAGTTTTTTGAGTATAAATAAATGTATAATATGCACTCACTTAAAGGATTATTTATTCTATTCTAGGGTATGGGGAATGATAGTTTTAACGGTGGGATTTGCATGGAAGCTGTACACGATATGGCTTCTTGTTAATCTTCATGAAGCAGTAAACGGAACACGTTTCAGTAGATACTTAAGACTCGCTATTGCTTCATTCGGTAATATATTTAAAAAAAAAAGAGATCAATCAAATTCACTAAAACTCTTTGTCGTTTACTAAGGACTTCAGTTTCTGAAACGGCACCGTTTCTTGTTGTTGTCATGAAATAATACTAATACTAATATAGGTGTAAAGCTTGGGAAACTTCTCGGAATATTCCCGGTGATGTATCTCTCAGGAGGAGCTTGTTCAATTCTAGTGATAACCGGAGGGAAAACAATCAATCAACTTCTACATATTATGTCTGAAGATGACACAGTGCCACTTACTACCGTGCAATGCTTCTTGATCTTCAGCATCCTCGCGGTTGGCATGTCTCAGTTTCCGAACATGAACTCTCTTTTTGGACTCTCGCTGGTCGGTAGTGTTATGGCCTTAGCATATTCCACAGCAGTCTGGACTTTACCTCTAGCTAGTGAAAGGAGTCAAAAGAATGTCTCTTACGCTACAAAGGATACAAGCTTCGATAACATTTTCAACGCTGTTGGATTGATAGCTATTGCATTTCGCGGGAATAACCTCGTCCTCGAGATACAGGTCTTAAGATCATATTGAGGAAAAACACATTTTAAAACTGATTACTACATGTTACAAAAAAAAAGAAAAAAAAAAAAAAAACTGATTACTACGTTTTGAATTTAAATATGTTCTCTTTTTGGTTAGACATGGTTTTGTTGTGATATTTGTAGGGTACTCTTCCGTCCGATTCAAAGAATCCTTCGAGTAAGACAATGTGGAGAGCCGTGGTGATCTCTAATGCGATAATCGCTGTTTGCATGTTTTTAGTCGCCATTGTTGTATATTGGGCATACGGTGACAAGGTATGTCAAAATCTACCGGAGATAACTTATAGACCGTTAAAGGCTAATGATTATATAATGTTATTTGGTGTAAGCTTTACGGACTTCACTTCATGTCAGACTTTAACCGTCCATAATAGGCAGTCCGCAAGATACATATCTTTTTCCCTAAGTTATCTCTAATAAAAACCAACACTAATATAGTATGCTATTGTTTTTTTGCCATTGCCTTAAATCATGTGTTTGAAACAATTGATATTAATTCGTATATGTGATAGATTCCGGCTGGGGGAGGTCCAATAAGCAACTACTTGAAACTCTACGAACAGGACTACCCAAAGCGAGCCGCTTATTTCATAGACATAACGTTCATCTTAAACTGCTTATGCGCATATCCGATAAACTTAATGCCGTCATGTGATAACGCAGAGATGGTGTACATAACCAATACACAAAAGCCTTGCTCCTTCTTTGTTCGGATGATGTTGCGCGTGTTATTGGGTTTAGTTTGTTTCTTTGTAGCTGTTGGATTCTCGTTCTTGCCTTATCTTGCGGTTCTTATCGGAGCAGTAGGCTTGCTTGTTACGTCTACGTACCCGTGTTTCATGTGGATATCTATCAAACAGCCCCAATGGAAAAGCCTGATGTGGTTGCTTAACGTTTTGGTGGGAAGCTTGGGCGCGTCACTCAGCATTTTGCTTGTGGTTGCGTCTGCTTTGCGTTTGGCTGATAAGGGTTTACATGCAAACTTCTTTAAACCCTAGCTAGAGCACATTCTTGCAACTCTTAGCATGTAAATATGAAATTCTGGTATAAGTGGTTAATCATGGAAGTACCTTTACTAAATGACCACGAGAGGCGTGGAGTTGAACAACGGTAGCGTATTGCACTTGAATTGATAAGTCTCGATCAATGGCATTCAGAGAATAGGGAACCGCTTAACATATTCTAAAAGGAGTTGGAGAGTTGGATTAAACCAACCTATGAATTTACACAGGAAAAATCATTTATGGATCAAAATAATGGAGGATTAAAATATTCAAACTCTGTAATTGTCATTACTATTTAATAAATATATGTAACAAGAAAGAGGAAATATTAAATTATTTTTTCGATTGTGACAGCATATTCTCTCAAACCTTATCTTTTTAACGTCTCTTTTGGTTTAGTAACAAACTCCGGTTTGCATATCGGTTATGGGTCAAATGTTAGACCAATTACAGCTATTCTCCTTTAAGTACAATCTGTCATCTTTCTAAAACGTTATCAATAAAACAGTATTATCCTCTCTCTCTCTCTAAACTCTCTTGCGCCATTGCTATCATCACCTGAATCTGGTACTTCGAGGTGAGCTTTTCTACCTTTATAGCTCATCTTCCGGTCATGATTTATATCTCTCTCTAGTTTCTCGGTGAATCTACAGAAAGATAACACCTTTATCTCTTTTCCTATCACATTTTGGTATTAGAGCCAGGTTCGAATCCCCGGATCTAGCCATGGTTGAGACACGAAACCAAGAAAAAACGGTGCTTGAAATGATTGAAGAGATACGCAACGGTCAGGAACGCCAATCCCAGGAGTTCCGACAGCGCTCTGACTCTCTTGACGAACGCTACGACAAGCTGGAAAAACTGGTTTTTGACCACATCTCTCAACTTCAAGCGTCAGGAAAGCAAGTCTATACAGATGCTGGAGGCTCTCAGATGATGGCCCCTGCGTCCACCGAGACAACCCGACCACCAGACCTGCCAGATCTACACGGCTCTTATTCTCGACCTAACAGAGACACACCGAACCAAGCTCCCAACATCCTCTCCGGTCGTCTGACTAAGGTTGGTTTCCCCATTTTCGATGGAACTGAACTCCGAGACTGGATCTGTCAGTGTGAGCAGTTTTTCGATCTTGATAATACCTCACCGGAGCTCAAGGTCCGACTCGCCGCGATGCATCTGCGGGGAAGAGCTTTACAATGGCACCGTACCTTCATGACTGAACGGTTCGGGATTATCCCATCCTGGTCCGACTATATCATCTGCCTCTCAGGTCGTTTCAGCGAACTCTTTGACGACCCCTTAGCAGACCTAGTAGCTCTCCATCAAGGGTCTGACTCTATCATTGTTTTCCTTGATAAGTTCAAAAACATCAGAACCCGCTTAACCCTACCCGAAACCCATGCCCTAAGTATCTTCCTAACCAACATGAACACCCACCTAGCCCTCCACGTCCGTCAGTTTGAAGTCACTACTATCTCTGCAGCAGCAAAGATTGCTAGTCTCCATGAATCATCCCTGGCCCATACCCCACCCAAATACCTACGAGCTCCCTTCAACCCAACTACCCAAAAACAAACCACACCCACAAATCCCAAACAAACCACCCCCACCACACCCATACTACCCAACACCCAAACCAAACCACCCTTCATTCCCCGTAGTTCCAACGATAAACCTGCTAGAAAGTTCAGCTATCAAGAGATGCAGGACCGTCGTTCTAAAGGTCTCTGTATGTTCTATGATGAAACTTTTACTCCCGGACACCAAATTAAACACAAACGATCTCAGATTTTTGTGATGGAAGGTGACGATGATGACGCTGAGAACATTGATGTAGAAGTTTCTGAACTTTTATTGGAGCAGAACCTCGAAGCAACTACTACGGAACCGACCCCTACCATTTCAGTCAATGCTCTGAGTGGCTCTACCACGTTCAACTGCATGAGGGTAATTGGTCAATACGGTAAACGCAAGCTTTTCATCTTGATTGACCCTGGAAGTACACACAACTTCCTCGATGTCAAGGTTGCAAACGAATTAGGTTGTCGCCTGGAAGCCTTCAGTCCCATGACAGTAGCCGCTGCAAATGGAAATAAATTGGTGACTAACTCCAAATGCAGCAACTTCACTTGGACGGTTCAAGGTTACACCTTTACCTCTGAGATACGTACACTCCCTCTTGACTGTTGCGAGTTTGTACTAGGAGTGCAGTGGTTGTGCACTTTAGGACCCATACTGTGGGACTTCCTAAACCTACGTATGGAGTTCACTTTCAATGGCATCCGACACTACCTCCGTGGTGTCACCAAAGCTGGGTGCAAACTGATCAAAGGAGCCAGCTTGAATAAGCTCATGCTCCAGGAACCTCAGATTGCAATGCTTCAAGTGCGAGAAGTTGCTGAGAACCACTCCTCCCTCCCACCACTGTCTCCTGAGTCACTCTTCTGCCATATCGCAGCACCTCAGAGTGAACGCTCACATGATCCCTCCTTACAACAACTACTGGAGCTGTTCCCCGATGTCTTTGTTGAACCTTCCGGTCTTCCACCCTCTCGTGAAGACTTTGACCATAAGATTCCGCTGAAAACGGGTTCTATTCCAGTCACCTCCGTCCTTACAGGTACTCTTCCCTGCAGAAAGATGCTATTGACGAGTTGTTGAAAGGGATGTTGCAGCAAGGCATAATCCAATGCAGTACGAGTCCTTACGCATCACCAATTGTGCTGGTCAAGAAAAAAGACGGCTCTTGGCGCCTCTGCGTTGATTATAGAGGCCTCAACAACCAAACTGTTAAAGACAAATACCCTATACCTCTACTCGAAGATCTTCTGGATGAGCTTGGTGGCGCAGTGTACTTTTCCAAGCTTGATCTCCGAGCAGGCTTTCACCAACTCAGAATGTCCCCTGATGACGTGTACAAGACTGCTTTGAAGTCTCACGCAGGCCACTACGAGTACTTGGTAATGCCTTTCGGCCTCTCCAATGCTCCTTGTACATTTCAGAGTCTCATGAATCATGTCTTTCAAGACATATCTCGGAAGTTTCTTTTGGTTTTCTTCGACGATATCCTGGTGTATAGTCCAGATTGGGAGAGCCACCTCCAACATTTGTTTGAAGTATTCTCAATCCTTCGCCAACAACAGCTCTATCTCAAAGCTTCTAAATGCACGTTTGGAGCTACGGTAATAGAATACTTGGGGCATTTCATTTCTGCAGATGGTGTGAGTACGGACCCTGCAAAAATCGAAGCCATCAAGCAATGGCCAACTCCAACTTCAGTTAAACAGCTACAGAGTTTTCTGGGTCTTGCAAATTATTACCGTCGTTTCATCAAAGGGTACAGCCTGCTGTCTCGCCCCCTCACATTTCTGTTACAGAAAGACGGCTTCTTGTGGAACCAGGAGTCAGACAAGGCTCTGGAAAACCTTAAAACAGCTCTTACCACCGCCCCGGTCCTGGCACTCCCTGACTTTGAGAAGACATTTGTTGTTGAGACTGACGCTAGCAACCTCGGTATAGGAGCTGTCCTTATACAGGATAACCACCCCATCTGTTTCATCAGCCGCGCCCTTGGTCCTCGACACCAAGCTCTATCTGTTTACGAGAAGGAACCATGGCTGTGGTACACGCAGTGCAGACGTGGAACGCCTACTTAGCTCACATGCACTTCATCATCAAAACTGATCAAAAGAGCCTCAAGTATATGGTGGAACAGAAAGTTACTACCCCTTTTCAGCACATGTGGCTCTCCAAATTGATGGGATATGACTTCGAGATTCAGTATAAGCTGGGGAAAGAGAACGTGGCCGCAGATGCTCTCTCCAGAGTTTCAGGCTCTCAACTACTACACATCGCTTTGTCTCAGGCACATCAAGGTTTCTATGACTCTCTACGTTTGCTATGGCATAGTGATCCTAAGTTGAGCAAACTAATCTCTGAGATACAGGCTGATCCTAAATCACATCCTTCTTACTCCTTCGTCAACAATGAACTCAGACACAAAAGGAAGTTAGTTGTGGGCGATGATGCTGGGGTAAAGACTCACATTCTCCGTTGGCTCCATGACTCTGCGGTTGGAGGCCACTCAGGAAGAGACGCTACTCTTCACAGAATCAAATCATTGTTCTTCTGGCCGAAAATGAGTCTTGAGGTACAGAACTACGTACGTAACTGCGATGTGTGCCAGAAAAACAAGTATGAAAACGTTGCTAAGCCGGGCCTGTTGAACCCTTTGCCGGTTCCTCAAGGAGTTTGGGAATCATTGAGCATGGACTTCATCGAGGGACTGCCTCCATCAGCTGGTAAACACTGCATCCTGGTGGTTATTGATAGACTGAGCAAGCAGGCTCATTTCATCGCTTTATCCCACCCCTACACCGCGATTGAAGTGGCTCAAGTCTACTTGGATAATGTGTTTAAGCTGCACGGCCTCCCCAAGGATATCATCAGTGATCGCGACCCAACATTTCTCAGTGAGATTTGGAAAGAATTGTTCCGTGTACATGGTGTCGACTTGCGCTATTCCACTGCTTATCACCCCCAAACCGATGGGCAAACAGAAATCACCAACAAGACCTTGGAGACTTACTTGCGTTGTATGACTGCTGAAGCACCTCACACATGGAGCAAATGGCTTGCTCTTGCAGAATGGTGGTATAACACTACCTTCCACTCCTCTATCAAGAGCACACCATTCGAGGTTGTCTATGGCCAGCCTCCCCCGGTCCATTTCCCATACCTCCCCGGCGAGAGCAAATCTACTCTGGTTGATAGAATCTTGCGTAAGCGTGAAGAGATCATCTCAATGCTGAAGTTTTACCTCCTCAGAGCACAAAACCATAACAAACAAGCTGCTGACTCTCACCGTTCTCCTCGATCTTTTACCATTGGTGACTTAAGGTCCAACCCTACAGGCAAAACTCTCTCAAGAATCGGAAGGTACCACACAAGCTCTCTCCTCGCTTCTATGGTCCTTTCCACGTCACTGATAC